TTTGGCTGTTGTTGATATGCTGCTGTAAACATCGGGGTGCATGTACCCCCTTTGAATCTGTATTTTTAAAAACTTTCCTCTGCCCATTTTTAAACTGGATTTATTTTGGTGTCTTTTATATATTTTGAAAATAATTCTATTACCAGGTACATCATTTGCAAATATCTTCTCCCATTCAGTAGATTGCCTTTTTGTTTGTTGGTTTCCTTCACTATGCAAAACCTTTTTAGTTTGATGTAGGCCCAGTAGTTTATTTTTGCTTTTGTTTTCCTTGCCTGAGGAGACATATGGAGAAAAATGTTAAGTCCAATATTCAGGAGGTTCTTGCCTACGTTTTCTTCTAAGAGTTTTATGGTTTCTAGTCTCAAATTTAGGTCTTTAATCCATTTTGATTTTATATTGTGTAAGAAAGTGGTCTACTTTTCCCAACACCATTTATTGGAGAGACTCTTTTCTCCATTGTATGTTCTTGTTCTCTTTTTGTCATAGATTAATGGACCATATAAGCATGAGTGAGTTTCCGGGCTGCCTATTCTGTTCTATTTATCTGGGTGTCTGTTTTTGTACCAGTACTGTACTGTTTTGATTACTTCACCTTTGTACTATAGCTTGAAATTAGGGATTGTGATGCCTTCAGCTTTGTTCTTCTTAAGATTGCTTTAGCTATCCAGGGTCTTTGGTGATTTCATACAAACCTTCAGGATTATTTGTTGTAGTTCCGTGAAAAATGCTGTTGGTATTTTGATGGAGATTACGTTTAATTTGTAGATTGCTTTGGGTAGTGTGGACAGTTTAACAGTATTCTTCCAGGCCATGAGCATGGTATATCTTCAGTATTTGTACATCTGTTTATTTATTTGTGTCTTAAATTTCTTTCATCATTGTTTTATAGTTTTCAGAGTAGAGGTGTGTCACCTAGTCGGTTAAATGTATTCCTAGGTATTTTATTCATTTTGGTGCTATTATAAATGGGATAGTTTTCTTAATTACTCTTTAATAGCTTCTTAGTGTATAAAAAGGCAACAGATCTCTGTATATTAATTTTGTGTCCTGTAACTTTACTGATTTATTCTAATAGGGTTTTTGGTGAAGTCGTATCAGTGTCATCTGCAGATAGTGACAGTTGTACCTATTCATTACCAATTTGGAATGATTCCTTTTTCTTGTCTGATTGCTGTGGCAAAAGTAGACATCTTTATTTTATTCCTGATATGAGAGAAAATTGACCATCAGAAGTAAAGACGAGATGTTCTAGACCTAGCGATAGAGCATGTGAATTTTTTTCCTTTGAAGCATGTAGCCTTACTGGAGTGGTTGATTTTTGCTCACACTTGGGGACTTACTGTAGAGGCTGGATGCCACTGACCTAAAAGGGGCTATGAGCAGTATTCTCTCAGCCTCCCAGAGGTGCTTATTTTTTTCCAACCTATAACTGCACCCAGAGGATCTGATGCAGTAGACATGTCACCTAATTATATGAAATAGAATTCATTTTAGCTTCCTTTACCACAAGCAGAATTTTAACCAGGTAGTATCAAAATTGTGTTTCTCTCTGTTCCAACCTAATTTCTGTGACTATTTCAGCTTGCTTTTGTTGGCCCATTTTAATCCAAGAGCTAAGAGTCCCTTGATCTGGGAATCCAGTTCTGGAATTTGAGGATTCTGGTGAATCCTCAGGTTCCTATCGACCCTGGGGAGGTCCTGCACATGCAGCGCCAAATAGCCTGACTGAACCCTGATAATTGTTTCTTCCAAAATACAAGAAGCACAAGTAGTTAAGCGTACAGCCTTCGGGGAATTCTGCTGTTTGAAAAACCTATGCCCAGCACTTTGCAAAGCTGTCGAGCCTAGGGAAGCTGCATCTGTCTCTTGGCAAAGCAGTGCCTTGGTTTTCCTTCCTTGGCTACCTCGTTTTCTTTTTTAATGCATTTTCTTTGCATGGTGGAAAGGAGAGGCAGGTGCGTCTAAACTTTTATTTTTCACAGTGAACTTTAAATCCTTCTATCACATGTGGAAAGATTGATTTGTAGCTGCTCTGTCTTCCTAATAGACCTTGTGGGTGGTAAAGATCTCAGGGAGTGAAACATTAAAAATGAATGAGGAGAACTAGAGTAGTTTGTCTGAGGGTAGGGGTTGAGAGGGACTTGGTGGGAAAGGTTTAACAAAAGGCATTGATGTTTTAAATGCACAGAAATGGCATCCATCAATAATAAATGGTGTGGCATAGAATAGATGTGCCAAATTGAGTTATTACAGCATACGGATCAGTTCATGGAAGGGGAAAGTAAACAGCATGGCTGGTGTTTTTAAATTATCAGTTTGAAAGCATTAAAATACAGTTTTGAATATCCTCCTTTGCTATCAGAGCATAAAGAGAAAACATTTAGAATTGCCAAAAATTTTAAGTTTTGGTTTTTTTTAAGACTTAATAAGAATGAACAAATTTTGTTTTTCTGAAAATGAATTTCTGGCCCTATCTGGCTGAGGCTGAATGCCTTTTTTTAAGAGCTTGAGTTGTAATTGTATGAGGAATGAAATTAACATTTCAGAATGTTAAGTCAGGTACAACTGTTGCCTATGTTCTCTCTGCCTACATTGTATCCCTAGATACCTCTTCACTACATACTCAAACTACAGAGGACCACTCAGGAAACCCCTCTCTGTGGTTTGAGATCGATTCATCCTCACCCTCAGTATTTTGATGCAAGGGCTAATTGTGTACATTTACTTGTTCTGCGTGAGAATTTTCACCCAGAAGAGAGACAAAAAGAAACACCAGCTTCACTGTCTCATAGAGAAAATGACTCCTAGAAAACTGGACAAAAATCTGTTAAGTAACCTGGGATCTTGGGTCGGTGTAGATCCTGGTGCAGAACTCAAGCTTTGAGTGCTATTCGATCTTCTAGAGGGATGGGAGTTAGTTAGTGTTAGTGGTACAGGCCTAGCAGAGGACAGTAATGCATGAGGTGTTTGAAATGACTCCTGAGTTGGAATTGGTGTGCTTTGTGAAAGCACTAGGCTTGGTAAGGCACGTGGAGCTATTCCACTCGTGTTCATATCGACCCTTGCTCCGTTTGGGAACTTGTTTGGAATCAGATCTGTTGTCTCAACAAAACTAATTCCTCTTTGTTTTTCCTAAGATGAACAAAAAAGTACTTAATTCTTACAAGTAGTGTGAATTTAGTTTAAATTTGAGGTTTGTTAGGCTAGAAAGACAGTCTTTGAGTGTGAATGCCCCAGTTGAAAATGAGGACGATTATATGAGAAGTCTTATTCGCCCTTGTTGGAGCCATCTGTGTTCGCTTTCAAGTCTTTCACGTGCAGAATTTACTTGAATTAATCTTTTCACTTCCAAGGGATCCTAGCTTGCCCTAAAAAAAAGCACGTGTCAAACTGTCTCTAGAGCCACCAAATAAATCTATTTTATAGTCCCATTAGATATCTCGCTCAAAATCCCATTCACTCTGGAAGGTCCTATGGTTGGATGCACAACAAATTTCCTGCAGTCATCTCTGGTCCACCTCCTTTGGGTTGTTAAGAAGGTGTTGAAATGCGAGACGGCTGGTAGTGAAATGAAATTGTGGGTCAGGGTAATTAGGAAGGGCGAAAACCCAGCATTTTCATGGTACATTGTCTGGCTTTTAGTTGCAGCTGCAAACAACGGGTATGAACTAAACCAGTTGCTCCCGTGCAGCTGGTTCAGATCTAGCTTTATAACTGGCTGAAGTAAAATGAAATGGCTGGAAAATTCCAGTCAAGTAACACCAGTGGGAACATGTGGAGTTAAATAGTGTGAGTAAATGGTGGCCTGGTTGAGGAAAAAAAACTACAGGCATAAGCTGGAGGGTGGTGGTGAGGACTTGTAGAGGGGTGGGGAGGGGACAGGCAGAGCATTTTCTGGCCTTTGTAACAAGGGTCTATTGTTTGGATCCGTTCCCTTGCAGGAGGTAGGAGGTTTCCTCTATCCAGGGAAGTTTGTAGAGTGGCCTGCCTGCCTTCTTCCTTGACTGAGACTTTTTTTTTTCTTTAAGAAGAAAGAAAAATAAGCCATCACTTCAGTTCCTGACAGTAACCCCAATCTCAAAATGTTGTCTTTCTTCCCACCTTGTGTGACCCAGAAGGCCCCGTCTGTCCACATAGCCCTCTTCCCTTGCACCACGCATACCGGAGGGTGTGGAGTATGTCGGAGGGGAAGGTTCAGTGTCTTCTAATTGTTCTAAATAAGGAAGGAAAATGGGTTGACTCAAGGAAAGCTTCTGTAGTATCAGTTTTTTCTGCTTAATTTGGAGAATTGAGAGTTGGCTCGAGGAAAAAAAAAAAAAAAAACTTGAGAAGTTCAAGGGCCGTGGTGCTGTTTGGGGAAAACATTTGCTGTAACTAGGTTGAGGGTATTTATTCTCTGCCAGTGCCTGGGAGCTGTATTTGCCAAGTGATTTCCCAGTCACAGGGATTAGCCAGTCATGTGAGACATTTGATGAAGAGACTTAGAGAAATCTTGGCTGAGGCACGTGATTGGTGGCTGTGGGAGGGATGGCCCCCTCCTCGACTCTGCTTCACTCCCCAGCGTTTGTCAGAATGTTTGTAGATGAAGACTCTTTTTAGAAATCAAAGTTCCAATGGGTATATTATTAACTACGCCCTAACGTTTCTACATGACTTGGAGTCTTTTTCTCTTGGAGCTGTACCACCACTCGTCTGTCCGGGGAAGAAGACAAGACACCAGACTATCAGTAAAAGTTACCTGTACCCCAACAGCATACATAGTTCTGTTTTAGGAAAGAGAATTTTTCTTGATGTACATTCCCTAGATTTGCAGCAAATTTTTATTCTAAACCTAGAGGACTTTTTCTTTTTCCTTAACAGAGACACCTTTCATTGGTGAGGCCAAGCCTGTGGGCTGAGGTTAGTGATGGTCTCCAGCCGTTGGGCTCCAGACTGGAGGGGAGCACCGGCTGTGTCCCTGCCCGCCTGCTTAAATTTGTGTGTGTCCCTGCCCGCAGATAACCATCATCTTCAAAGCTCACCGGGAGTGTACAGAGCAGAAAGTGTACCAAGCTGTGACCGATGACCTGCCGGCGGCCTTTGTGGATGGCAGCACCAGCGGCGGGGCTGGCGACCCCAGGAGCCTGCTGATCGTGGAGAGGGAGAGTGGCCGCTCTGTGGAGATGCACGCCCGCTACATCGGGACCACGGTGTTCGTGCGGCAGCTGGGCCGCTATCTGACGCTCGCCATCCGCATGCCCGAGGCCCTGGCAATGTCCTACGAGGAAAGCCAGGACTTGCAGCTGTGTGTCAACGGCTGCCCCCTGAGCGAGCGCATCGATGACGGGCAGGGCCAGGTGTCTGCCATCCTGGGGCCCAGCACGCCTCACACCTCTCTGGCACCAGCCTGGCCGGGCTACACCCTGGAGGCTGCCAGTGCTCAGTGCCACGAGAGGATGCCCGTGAAGGACATCTATTTCCAGTCCTGCGTCTTCGACCTGCTCACCACTGGGGACGCCAACTTCACAGCTGCTGCGCACAGTGCCTTGGGGGACGTGGAGGCTCTGCACCCGCGCCGCGAGCGCTGGCACATTTTCCCCAGCGGCAGCCAGGGGGTGCCCCACGGAGGTGGCCCCGGGGCTGTCACTCTCGGACTCCCATGCTTGATCCTCGTTGTGTTTTTGTAGGGGGCGTCTTGTGTTTTTTTTTATTTCTTGTCTATAACAGAATTTTAAAATATATATTGTCATAATATATTGAGTAAGAGAGTATATATATCTATATATATGTATATACCATGTATATGACAGGGTGTGTGTCCGGGGGCCCCCACCAGAGTGTACATATTGTGTTCGACTGTCTTCGTGGATGTTGGATGTAGTGTTCTTTGATTGTATTGATTTTTGTTTTGCCGTTTTGTGAAATATTTTATAACGTCCCTGCCTGGGGACCTGTTAGAAAGCACTTTATTTTTTATATATTAAATATTTATGTGTGTACCTGGTCAGTACGTATAGTACATATACCCAGACACCAGACGCAGCGCTCCCTTCGACGAGGACCAGGGACGGTGTGTGGAGCTGTTCCTGGCCGCTCGATCCTGCCTCGGCCCCTGGCTACTGATCTGCCACCCCAGGGGCACAGCTTTCACTCGCCACCTTCTGGGGGCAGCTGCATCCTTCCTGTGAGGCAGGGGGTGTCCTTAGCCGCCTCCTGCCCTCACTCGAGGTGGACGGACCGCGAACTCCCCCCTGACAGGTGCTTGGGCTCTTGTGAAACTGCATCTCGAAGGCACCCTCACCCTCCTCCTCCACAGCTGTCACTTTGTCAGAGGGCAGGGAGAATATTACCACAGCTTTATGAACTAGGATCGTTTTATCTGAGCACTTACCGTATGTGGGGTTGAGGCAGACAAAACTGCTGTTTTGATCGGTCAGAAGGGTCTAGAGGTGGCAATTTCACAGATAAATACCAGGCGTGTGGCTAGACCCGAGGAGCTCTCAGACTTGCCCTCATCCCATGTCCCTGTTGAAACTATCACACGTTGCTCTTCTAATTGTGCAAGCCCAAGTTCTTATTCTTAGCCTTCTAGTCCTTGGCTGCTGGCGCTCAGAAACACACTGTTCCCTGTCTCTACCCCCCTCCGTAAACCCGCCTTAATCTCACCTTATGAACCCAGAGATGAGGGTTTGTTGGATTCTTGCTTCATATCAAGGCCCAGCTCCCGTCACAAAGTGGGCCACTCCTCCTTGCCCTCCACACCACGGTCTTCCTCACGGTCGCCGATGTATCTGTTGCATGATGGAGTGAATAGGGTGTTAGACGACAGGAACGCTTTCCTGGCCCAACCCACTATGCGACTAACTGGGTGCTGGTTAATCCAGACGTTCTCACTAAGCAATGTTGCTCCCCAGGCGGTCTCTCTCTTTCATCAGACACTCTCCCTCTTACCATCTGTAGTAGTATTTTGTCAGTTGCTCACGTAGCTGGTAAAATTCCTCTAAAGTCTCTCCTTGCCTCCTCCCTTTCACTGTTGCATCCCCTTGCAAAAGGAAAGCACCACAACAAAATGCAAGCACCATGAGGACGTGAGTTCTAGGGTAGGTAAATTTCTCTTCTATGTAAATGTTTGGTACCAAGGAGAAAGGATACAATTTGTACCTTACCTAAGTGCAAGGAAAAGTCAATGAACTTCAAATACCACAGCAATTTGGATCCAGACTGTGCTCAGTTTTAGATGGCCAGGTAATTTCTGCCTCTTGCCATGTCCCGTTGATTAGGCTTACTGCCAGAGGCCCCGACTGGCAGGAAAAAAGGATTTCGTTTTGTGAAATTCTATTTCTCAGTGAACTGAGCTATCATCCGATCACAGGATGGAGCTGTGGGTTCGTCTACAGGTGGCAACCCTCCTCTCGTTTTCTGATGTGTGACAGAATCATCATGGCAAGTCTGGGAAGATCACAAAGGCATCCTGCCACTTACTTGATAAAGATGTAACACCAGAGAATTGAAACCTAAACCGGTTAACTTTTTATAAAAACTGGACTGGAGCCTACCTGCCATCGTCTCTGAACTGGGGCTGTTTTTGTTCACCTACGGAACCGTGTGCCACGTTCAGAAGCTAGAGTTAGCTAGTAACTTCGTTATGTAATTGAGTAGAACAAAGGAGGAAAAATAGAGTACTTATAACCACTATTCTTGTGCAAACAGTATAAAAGTGAAGTAAAAGCAGTAGAAATTTCTACAGTATCTGGCTTTAGAGTGTATATGGTTAAGAGAACCTTTGTCCTTTTCAGGGAATAGTTGGGGAAAGACACTTAGGCTGTGTGGCCGCATCATAGAGCTGGGAAAGCCACTTAAAAGCGTTCTGTAGCACTAGTATTTGTACCAGTGTATTTGGCTATTGTCCCTTTACAATCAGTGCCCCTGTACCACATTTACAGTCCCCACAGATAACTGACAAATACAGATGCTTCTCTAGAGAAGGACCAGGTTATTTTTCCGTTTCTTTTCTAGGACTTCTAGAGAAAATAGTACTTGTACATTTTGGTTCTTTAAATCCTCCTTAGTCCACAGAGATTCAGGTTATACCAACATGTGGATAGGCTGTAACTATTCAAAGGTCTCCTGGGGGAGCTTAAAACTTGGGGGAAAACACTGGTTTTCACAGATGCTCCACATGGCTATCTTTAAAAGACTCAGAACATTTTTTTTTGTCCTTTTCTTCTCTTTGTTATGCTTGGAAATTCCCAGTGTGTCGAGTCTTTGCAAAGAAACCTTTAGATGTGGTTCATAGGCATATGAATAAGTATCTGTGTAAAACAGTGAGTGTGCGGTGTGTAAATACTTTAAATTATTATGCTAGAAAAATAAAGTTACATACCATGCTGTGGAATGTCTGTTCTGTGATTATAGTGACGCCTGCTGGAAGAGCTGCAGAAGACAGGAGCAGAAGAAAGGGAGCGAGGGTGTGTTTGTGCCAAACCCTTGGCGATTACTAACACCACATTGTATAACCTGCCCATAAACTCACTTATTTTCTAAACTACATCTTTCTTGTAGTTTTTCATTTTTAAGTTTAAAGCAATTTCAAATAAGTCAATGGCTGTGAAACTGGTCCACTGGTATCATCCCAAAGGTCTTGTCTTCAGTAATAGTTTTGGTGACTTGCAGACATGGGAACTGCACTATAGTTCTTTTAAGATAGCGTGGACTGCAACAACTTCCCTCTGGTGGGAAAGACTTGGGGGCACGATTTTTTTTTTTTTTTTTTTTTTTTTTGGCTTTGGGAACTTGTAAATCTCCTTTTCTCGGGTGTTCTAAAAAGAGACATCACAAGATCTCAACTTGCTCTTTGTGCAAGAAACATGCCGAAGGGGCCTTTCTGCCCGTGGACGCCGCAGAGTAAGCATCGTTAAAGTCTCCCCTCCCACCGCCGTCATGTCTAAGTCAGAGTCTCCCAAAGAGCCTGAACAGCTGTGGAAGCTCTTCATCGGAGGTTTGAGCTTTGAAACAACCGATGAGAGTCTGAGGAGCCATTCTGAGCAATGGGAACACTTACGGGCTGTGTGGTAATGAGAGATCCAAACACCAAGCGCTCCAGAGGCTTTGGGTTTGTCACGTATGCCACTGTGGAGGAGGTGGATGCAGCCATGAACGCAAGGCCACACAAGGTGGATGGAAGAGTTGTGGAACCAAAGAGGGCTGTCTCAAGAGAAGATTCTCAAAGACCTGGTGCCCACTTAACTGTGAAAAAGATTTTTGTTGGTGGCATTAAAGAAGACACTGAAGAACATCACCTGAGAGATTATTTTGAACAGTATGGGAAAATTGAAGTGATCGAGATCATGACTGACCGAGGCAGTGGCAAAAAGAGAGGTTTTGCTTTTGTAACATTTGATGACCATGACTCTGTAGACAAGATTGTCATTCAAAAATACCATACTGTGAATGGCCACAACTGTGAAGTAAGGAAAGCCCTATCTAAGCAAGAGATGGCTAGTGCTTCATCCAGCCAAAGAGGTCGAAGTGGTTCTGGAAACTTTGGTGGTGGTCGTGGAGGTGGTTTTGGTGGGAATGACAACTTTGGTCGTGGAGGGAACTTCAGTGGTCGAGGTGGCTTTGGTGGCAGTCGAGGTGGTGGTGGATACGGTGGCAGTGGGGATGGCTGTAACGGATTTGGTAATGATGGAAGCAACTTTGGAGGTGGCGGAAGCTATAATGATTTTGGCAATTATAACAATCAATCCTCAAATTTTGGACCCATGAAAGGAGGAAATTCTGGAGGCAGAAGCTCTGGCCCCTAGGGTGGTGGAGGCCAATACTTTGCCAAACCACGAAACCAAGGTGGCTATGGTGGTTCCAGCAGCAGCAATAGCTATGGCAGTGGCAGAAGGTTTTAATCACTGCCAGGAAACAAAGCTTAGCAGGAGAGGAGAGCCAGAGAAGTGACAGGGGGGCTACAGGTTACAACAGATTTTTGAACTCAGCCAAGCACAGTGGTGGCAGGGCCTAGCTGCTACAAAGAAGACATGTTTTAGACAATACTCATGTGTATGGGCAAAAAAACTCGAGGACTGTATTTGTGACTAATTGTATAACAGGTTATTTTAGTTTCTGTTCTGTGGAAAGTGTAAAGCATTCCAACAAAGGGTTTTAATGTAGATTTTTTTTTTTGCACCCATGCTGTTGATTGCTAAATGTAATAGTCTGATCATGACGCTGAATAAATGTGTCTTTAAAAAAAAAGAAAAGAAAAGAAAAGAAACATGCCAAAGGGTAGCAAAACTTGAAAAAGAAACCCGAACTTAAGGCAAAGGAAATCAATTATTGCTACTAAGTCAAATACTAAATGGGACAAATTCCAGCTGGAGGAAACCTACATAATCATTTCTTAAATAGAAGGTTTAATCCATACTCTTAGTGTTTATCTGTAGTTCAGAATTAAAAATAAAAGTCATCTGAAACACAAAATTGGATGACCGTGATAATGCCACTGACTACCTAATGCATAAGCTGGTACTAAATGAATACTAAGAAATAATCCACATCAAAATGAAGTCTATGCTTAGAAGTCAAAATTTCTCTTGCAGTGTACTCTGTCCAGAACCCCAGCTTTTCAGGGATTGAAATTTAAGTGACTGCCTAAAATCCTAACGAAGAGGTCTTTATTGTCTTAAACAGCAAACGGAGACTTTAACAAACCCTAAGAATCCTGTTATCTGATTATTTTTCTTTTTTCTCTTTTTTTTTTTTTTTTTGGTAGCCATAACATTTAGCATTCTACTGCCTGAAGGCAGTTGGACTAATGCAGTCTTAGATTGCAGCAGTCCTTTCTGAGAAAAGATACTTTGTTTCTGGGAACAGCAGGAACAAACTAGCAAGGTCTTTGCATGTGTACCAAGGAGCATCTCCCTGCCTCAGAGAATGTAATAAATAAGACAAGGAAAGGAGAGGAGAGGAGAGGAGGGGAGGAGAGGGGAGGGCAGGGGATGGAAGGGGGGGGAGGAAGAGGAGGGAGGGAGGGAGCAAGGAAGGAAAGAAGGAAGGAAGGAAGGAGAGGAAAGGAAAGGGAATGGGGAAAGGAAAAAGGGAAGCAATGGGAGAGGAGAAAGAAGAAAGAGGAAAGGAAGGAAGGAAAGACGAAAGAAAAAGAAAAAGCAGTTCGTGGTTCCTTATCTGACTGCCTAGCTCACCATATTGTTTCTCCTTTCATTCATTTTCTGTCTTCCAAATGGAAAAGGCATATTCACAACATTATTTTTTAAACTATTTTCCTCTAAACTTACTACTCTACCAAGTAAACAAGATGTGTAACACTATCAACTAAATAATAGGATATACAGCCTTCTGTACCCAAAATATGAAGCATGCTTGGAGTGCAGAAGTGTTTGTGTTTCTTATGAGTAACATGTAGATGTATAAGGAGAGGGGGCATCTACAGCCCAGGAGGATACGCTAACAGATCCTACACAAGTGGAATGTTCACCCTTCCCTGGTTATGATGATGTTCAAACCAAGTGAACAAACCAGTCTGGTCAGCTAACATATATTAAAGTATGTCCATCAAACTCCAGCAAGAAGAAAATGGAGCCAAGTTTTCTAATTGAGAGTTCTTCATGGAGGACAGTTCAATGACCCTCCAACTTTTTTTAAGTTATTATAATGAAAACTCCCAACTCCAGGAAAAAAAAAAGAAAAAGGCACTCTGCTACCAGATGGAATACATAAGACAAAACCATACACAAATTAACCAAGTAGGAACTGCACTTGCCATAAATGACATATTAAAAAAAATTATCATCTCAATCACTAATATAGCAGCAGCACCTAAATACGTGAAACAAATATTAATAGACATAAATGGAAAATTGACAGTAATACAGTAACAGTAGGGGACTTTAACAAACCCCACTTACATCAATGGATAAATCACCCAGACAGAAAATCAGTAAGGAGACATTGGCCTTAAATGACTCATTAGACCAGACTGACTTAGTAGATACATATAGGACATTCCATCCCAAACTGCAAAATAGACCTATTTTTCAAGTACACACGGAACACTCTCCAGTACAGATTACATGGTAGACCACAAAAGAAGAATACATTCAAGAAGACCGAAATCCTATCAAGCGTCTTTTCTGACCACAACATTATGAAAGCAGAAATTAATTGCAAGATAAAAACAAAACAAAAAAACACAAACATATGTAGACTCAACAATACATAACTGAACAACTACTGTGTCAGTGAAGAAATCAAAGAGGAAATCAAAAAATACCTTGAGACTAATGAAAATGTAAACACAACTTATCAAAATCTATGTAATGCAGTAAAAGCAGTTCTAAGTTCATAGTGATACAGGCCTTACCTCAAGGATAAAGAAAAATCTCAAATTATCTACTTTATACCTAAAGGAACTAGGAAAAGAAAGGTAAAGCTCACAGTCAGTAAAAGGAAGGAAATCATAAAGATCAGAATAAAAATATTTAAAAAAATAATAGAAATATCAATGAAACTAAAAGCTCATTCATTGAGAAGATAAACAAAATTGGTAAACCTCTAGCCAGACTCATCAAGAAAAAATGAGAGGCCCCAAATAAATTAAAAAAAAAAAAATGAAAGAACTTACAACTAATATAAAGGATCATGAGTGGTTACTACAATTATTGCCAACAAGTTGGAAAATTTAGAAATCATTAATTTCTACGAACACATAACCTTCCAAGAATGAATCACAAAAAATAAAAAACCTGAATAAACCCACACAAGAAACAAAATTAAGTCACTAATTTAAAAATTCCTAACAAATAACATTTTAGGACCAGACAGCTTCACAGGTGAATTCTACGAAATATTTAGGTGTTAGTACCTATCCTTCTCGAATTATTCCAAAAAATTTAGTAGGAAGAAATGCTTCTAAACTCATTTTACAAGGCCAGCATTATCCTGATACCAAAACAAGGCAAAGATACCACCAAATAGAAAACTATACACCGATAATCCTGATGAACACAGATGCAAAAATCCTCAACAAAATATTACCAAATTCAACAATACATTAAAAGAATCATACACCATGATCAAGTGGGATTTATCTCAGAGATGCAAGGATGGTTCAACATCTGCAAATCAATCAACATGATACTCCACAATAACAAAAAGGATAAAAGTTCTATGATCTTCTCAATAGATGCAGAAAAAGCATTTGAAAGTTCAACATTCATTTGTGATAAAAACTCTCAAGTGTGTATAAAAGTAATGTACCTCAACATAACCAAGTCCATTTATGACAAACCCACAGATAAGATCATACTAAATAATGAAAAGCTGAAAGCTTTTCCTCTAACATTTGGAGCAAGACAAGGATACTCACTCTAGCCACCTT